AAGTCAAAAGTTATCTAAGTGTGAAATCATCTAATCTACCAATTGGAATCTTCCAATTCGACTGAATTGCGATGTCAGAATTGCTGACGGTGAGATCGTTCATTTCGATATAGAAGTACTGGGACTCCCAATCGTTGAATTTACTGGGCTTAGGTCCCATAACTAAATTCTTCTTCGGCTTGGCATTGGCGGCGAAGAACCACTCCTTGGACTTATGGATATTGACCGAGAAGAGGTCTTCGAAAATTCGACTCGATGGTACTTCGCCAAGCTCGTCGCATAAGGAAACGAACCCAACGTAGTTCGTTATTGAGGCTGGCATCACCTGTGTGAGAGCTACGCCGCGCCGATTGCAGTATCCCAGTAGGCGAGAGGGAATGGGGAAAGAAAGCCCGCACTGAGTGAAGTACGTCAGATAGACGCAAAGGAAGCCTTCGGGAGCATCCCACGGCCGATCTCTAGCCTCCGGAATGATGAAAATAATCTTGTCCGCAAGCCTGTTTGCCTCGAGCACGGCTCGAACGGCACCAGGAGAAAGGGAACAAGAGGGCACGTTGTTGGGACGAACTACTTTCCGCCTCGGAAGTGGTGGCGAAGCATGAATAACCGCCTCAATGTTGTCGACTTCCGTATCAACAACGTTCTCCCCCTGAAATTCTTCCTCGATCTCCTCGATCTCGGGGGTGTTAGCATCAACCTTCGGTCCAGCCCGAGCTTCTGTTTCGCGAGCCTCTGCAGTCAGATCTTCGGTAGCTTCAATTCTAACTCTAGCACGGCTGCTGCTAGCTTCTGCAAGTCTAGAGTTCTTACGAACTAATTGGGGAAGATTGCTTTCTTCCCGTGATGAACTTGACTGCTGAGGGTTTGAAGAAGAGGAGCTCGGCTCCGAGGACTCACGGTGGTCTTCCGGAAGAATTTTATTCGAGGAAGAATTAATCGAAGAGCTGGAAGACATTTTAGGGTTTCGGAAAGAAGATTTGAAGGAAATAAAGAACAGTTTGAAGATCAACCGGAAAGTTTGAAGGTTGATCGGAAAAATCAAGAGTTCGTGGCGGCGGGAGTTGAAGAAACGAGAGAAAACGAAGAACAAAAACTAGAGAGAGAAATAAAATCTAGAGAGAAGGGAGAGCGGCGTACCTTATATATGCTTGAGGCGAGAATAATGAATGCGAGAAGAAGAGTTACCCTTTATACACAGTGGGAATCGTGGGTTCCTCGATTTTCGCGAAAAATCCTGTAATTCACGCGCCTCATTGAAGATAGGCGCGAAACGTCCGGAAATGCGAAACGACGACAGTTACCGAGCTCAGTTTGTGATCCAATAACCGAAAAATTGAGTTCAACTGAAAGTCACCTCCTTTCACCGAACTGAGGGGGGGGCTAACTGTTGGAGGTGAAAACCGCACCCCGGTTTTCTCCGGTACAAACTGAGATCGGCGAACCGTAAGCCCGGTTTACGAAGGGATGTACCGAGAGAAGATGGGCCGAGCGAAGATGGGCCGAAGATAGCCCATTAGACCGAGGTCGGTGGGAAACCTCTCAAAGGAATAGAAGGTTTCCTCGAGCTCGGCCGAAACAGGAAAGTTTCCTGAAGGAAAAAGGAAACTTTGGAGAGAAAAGGAAAGGAACCGAGAGAAAAGGAAACTCCTCTCGGTCCCATATCGTCTAAGGTGCGCTTGAAGACCGACTTATGAGATATATATAAAGGGAGACGAATCGACATCAGAAAGGGGGGATTCCCAAGAAAACTGAAAGACTGAGAACTCGTTACGACAGCTTCTTAGTCGCATTAAGTCTTAGTTCGTTATTGCCTATTGAAATAACCGAACTCAGTTGTATTTCACTTGATTCAATCTAATAAAACCAAGCTTCCGATCTAAATTACTGTTTTGTCCCTTGTCGATATTCACATATCAACATTAACGTTCTTGATCGTTCTCCAGTCTTCGATGATATTTTGCATGGTCGAGCACCAAAAGTGCGATATTGGATCAACGGTCACGAATATAGTTTGCCGTACTACCTGACCGACGGTGTATATCCAAAATGGGCTACATTTATACAATCAATTCACCTTCCTCAAGGAGCCAAAAACAAGTTTTTTACAACAGCTCAAGAATCCGTCCGAAAAGATGTGGAGCGTGCATTTGGAGTTTTGCAAGCTAGATTTGCGATAATTAAAAACCCAGCTCTTTTTTTGGGATAAAGAGAAAATTGGGAAAATTATGCGGGCATCTATCATATTACACAATATGATAGTTGAAAATGAACGAGATTCTCGCAGTCAATTCAATTTGGAAGAATTCTAACAAGGTGAAGGAAGCAGAAATTCGCATCTCGATATGACGTATACTTCAAATAATCGTTCAAATGTCAAAAATTTGATGATGGCCAAACGAAATGAAGTCCGTAGCAAACAGATGCATGATCAGTTGAAAGCGGATTTAATCGAAAATCTATGGAATAAATTTGGTTCTTCTTAAAAGTACAATTATGGTTATAAAATTTATGTATTTTATCTATTTAATGTTTTTTTAGTACTTGTAATAAATTGTATGCTTCTTTTAAATTAATTATATGTTTAAATTTATTTCAAATTCAAAAAAAAAAAATTTAAAATTAATTTTATATTCGGGATGAACCCTATTTTCAGGTTCACTGATGAAACCCGAAAAAAGACTCAGGTTCATCCCTTAAACAAAAACCCAAAAAAAATTATTATTCTATTCTAATGATACCCACTAAAAGTATCACTAATGCACATGCTCTAAGAGTTTAAAACAAGTTGCGCTAACTCTAAACTTATCTTTATACTAGATTTATAATCCGCGCGTTGCGCAGAATTTCAATTTTTAAACAGCTAATTCATCATATTAATCTTTTTATTTTTTTGGATTTTATTAGACTATTTCTCTATTTTCATATTATCGTAGATTGCTATTTTCATTTTCGGTCTTCTTTATCATCTTCAACATTTTTGTCTTCATATTTTCTGAAATTCTTCTTTATCAGTTTTGTGTTATTCTTCATCTTCTTCTTTATCTTTCTTTTTCTTCATTTTCTTCTTCATTTTCATTTTTTTCAACCTCTATTTCTTTTTTTTTCCTTTTTTCCAGTTTTTTTCAAATTATTTTCTGATTTTGTTTCGTTTCTTATTTTTACTTATTTCGTATATCTATTTTTTTTCTTCTATTTCATCTTCATCTACGTGTTTTTTTTTATTAATTTTTTTTCTTCCTCCTATTTTTCTTATTCTTTTTCCTCATTTTTCATTTTTATTTTTATCATCATCGTTTTCTTAACTACTTCTTTTTATTATTTATTTTTCCAGCTTTTATTCTTCTTCTTCTCGATAAAAAAATAATGATTATAAACAATGCATAAATTAATTAAGTCATTAACTTTAATATTAGTGTTTTTTATTTTAAAATAAAATTAATACTACTTTAAAGTGTGTGAATTAATTGAATCATTAATTTTAATTTTTTTCTATGTTGATGTGGACACTTTAGATAGAGAGAAAACTCTTCAATTATATAATAGATTTTACAAAATAAAAAAAATTGTACTAAACTTCATGAGTTTAAAACAAAAAGTGTACGTTACACTGGACCAAAGAAAGATGGCGACTGATGTGATGTGATAAAGTTGTAACGCATGATTCATAAAAGATTAAGAAAATCATATTCATATTATTATATCGTGGCCTGAGTATGAGGGCATATCTTTGCAGTCGTAACGTGTCGGAAACCTCAGTAACGTCCAACAAAGTTTTTATTAAAATAATATTCCAAGAAAACTACGATTTTATCTATTAACGTGCAGAAAAATGTTGATGTATCTTGACCAATGTAACATCTCAGTTTCTCGTATATGATGTTTATAAGAATTGATTTGGTTATCTATATTATCAAAAGTAAATTTATTTTCTGGGATCTGGTCTTAAGAAAACTCTAAAATTAAACATGTTTGAATTGAAAATTTTTTGAGATAGATGACTTCCTGAAAATAATTCGTGATATCGTATTAGTAAAGACAATACACGGAAAAAATTATGAAGTAATTGCAGAATAAGTAAACAAGTATTACAATTGTACCAGCCTACGCACCGGCCATTGAACACGAGTGAGCCATGGGCCGATAGAAAAGACGTTAGATCTATTGGTAAAAGCGGTTGGAGCGTTATAAACAACGAGTTGACACATTTATTTTACATAAAACATAGGATTTTGAAAACCACTAATTCGATTCGTGTTGAAAGGAGTCTAGACTCCAAACAATAGTTAAATTACATAGTCTAAATAGAGGACATGGACACACAGACAACTTCCTAGTCATAATAAATCAAGTCCTGATGTATTACGTTACTGAGGTTTCCGACGTAAGACGGCCTAGAGAATAGATGACGTAGGACGCATGGACCTCAAACCTCCTAGTCACAAACTGATGTATTGTGTGTGAATCCTCTTTTGAAATAAGAAGCGCGTCCAACTTTTTCACCGCAATTTCCAATGATAAATTTGAATGTTTCTCGCGTTTTTAGTCATATCAAATTGTGATTGTCGAACCACTAAGAATACGCTTAAGCATTTTCTATAAAATACCGTAATAGAATGATATATATATATACATATATATATAAACTCAATCAATTTTTAAAATGTTATTATAATTTCTAAGAGTCTGATATGATCGAATCTTCCATCACCTAAAATGACTACATCATGACCACATTGTTTTTACGTTATAATCTGAAATCCGAATCTGAGACAGACATCGTCAACCACCTTGGACACTTTGCAAAATGCCTATATTCATGCACCATATAATGTTCTTGCAAAATAGAGAACTTTCACAATGGAAGTTTATGATTTTTTTAGCTTATAGAAAAGAATAAGACAATGAAAAAAAAAAAAAAAGTCTTTAGTAAACGAATACTGATATCTCGAGTCAAGTCTCCGCTTCTGTCATTATTCTCAATTGACTTGGTCCTCAGGCTCTTCACCGTTTCCACCTCATCTCTATGCTTATCTTTCTCTCGATCTCTCTCTGTATTTGTTTAAACAACTTCCTCTGCTCTCCTCAACACAAACCAAACGAAGAATTAATAAAGACTGTCCATAACTAAACAAATTATGTACTATCTCCCCACTTCTTGCCTCGTCTTGTTCTTCCTCGTCTTCTTGTTTCATCCTCTTCCTTGTGCTTCAAGTAAGCAAGAACATAAATTGTGTGAGTCTCTGTTTCAGTGCGGGAACATCACCGCCGGTTTCCCTTTCTGGGGAGGGAATCGTCACAAACATTGCGGTCATCCATTGCTGAAGCTTCACTGCAACAAAAGCATCACCTCTATATCCATCTCAGAGCAAAATTTCAAAGTTCTTCAAGTAAATCAACCATCAAACAGTCTAACACTTGCCAGAAAAGACCATTTGGGTTCTTTTTGCTCCTGTAAATTCACCAACACAACCTTGCCTCCAGAAATTTTTGAGCTTTTGCCAACCTACAAGAACCTCACCGTATTCCACAATTGCTCCTCTACATTCGCCAACACAATCTTGCCTCCAAAAACTTTTGATTTTCCGCCAACCTACAAGACCCTCACTGTAAACCACCTTTCAAGATATAAATGCCCAAAGATAGGTTTTATCTTAGTGTATGAAAAACCTAAATATCACGAATTCTGCCCTGCCAGATTCACCGTGAACGTTCCTACGAGTTTCGTTTCAGAAGAGAGAGAGTTAAATATAACCAATTTGGAAAGTGTTTTGAGAAAAGGATTTGAAGTGAAGGTCAAGATCGACGAGAGAGCTTGTCAAGAATGTTCATCCTCTCATGGAATCTGCGGCTTCGAAAATACTACACAGGTTTGCTGCAAGGAAGACTCATCATCAGGAATTAAATGCAGTCCATTCCATCCACCAAGTGGTAAGTTTCTTATACATCACTATCATTTCATATCCATTTTTTTGTCAGCAATTTATGCTGAAGTAGCGGTTCTGCTTCTAGTAAGCCTAAGATATGCAGTATGAGCATGGTGATGAACTCAAGATATTTTTTTAGTTGGCTCACAAACTGAAACCTAAGATTTTAGATTGCTGTCAGACAAGTTTTTCTCATCCTTCATACCGTTTAATTATGCCCTTTACATTGACATATCACTCACCTAGTAAGCTATGTCTCTAAGTGACGTAGCTTACTAATGATCTATAAAGAGAAGGTGAAACAAGATAAAAACTTAACTTTTGGAAATTCTCTTCCGACTTGACATTAACTCTTTCACTAATTGATTTAGCAATGGTTAGATTGATTTGTATAGTATTTTTGTTTGATTTCTCATGATCGTATCATCCATCAACTTAAATGAGTGCATCAATTTGTTATGTAACATGTAGTGTTCCCATAATCATCGACGGTTTGAACCTGAGACTTTAACCTTGGACACTTTACTAAGACCATTTCCAATCCAACTCCGTTTTCCACTCCAATCTTTATTATGGAGTAAAATCCTCTCTAACCCCATTCCATTTCTCACTCAAATATTGAGTTACCCAAATTCATTTCTGGATCTTGTGAAGCACCAGAAATCTTCATCATTTAGTGGCCTACTAGGAGTATTGGAGCTGATGTCCTCCAACCCCATGATGATTCCTTCAATCACTAAAGACTTAACCACCATGAATTTCCTTAAATAGAGTTTTTTTTTTCACAAAAAGGGGTAAGATAAGTCTCTTAAAGTTTTTCTTTGCTTAGAGAAAAGAGAAAACAAGGAATTAAAGGTTCTTTAAAAGTAAACACCCAAGTCTCCGCTTCTGTCACTATCACCATTGACTTGGTCCTTAGTCTTCCACCTCATCTTTATGCCTCTCTCCCTCTTTCTCTCTCTCTCTCTCTCTCTAAATCACTTCCTCATCTGCTCTTCTATACACAAACCAAATCCAAAAGCCACACTGTTCATCTTTCTCAATCAGATCATGTACTATCTCCCCACTTCTTGTTTGGTCTTATTCTTCTTCTTATCCTTACCCCACCATCTTTCTTCTGCTTCAAGTAAAAAAGAACTTGGATGGTGTGAGGCTCTGTTCCAGTGTGGGAACATCACCGCTGGTTTCCCCTTCTCTGGTGGGAATCGTCCCCAGATTTGCGGTCACCCATTACTGGAACTTCACTGCTTTCAAAACCACACATCTATAATCATATCAGACCATCTGTACGATGTTCTCCATATAGATCAAACATCCAAGACTCTTACACTTGCCAGAGCAGAGCTTCAAGGTTCTTTTTGTAACGCTACATTCTCAGCCGCAACCTTACCTCCCGAAACCTTTGAGCTTTCACCAAACTACAAGAGCCTCACTGTTTTCTACCTTTGCGACCCTAAGCTTCCTCACCGTTCGAATTATACATGTCCTGGTAGAGGTCCGATCTCAGTGTCTCAAACCCTTGATTATCACAATTCTTGCCAAGACAGTTTCACAATTAACGTTCCGAAGAGCTTTGTTCCGGAAGAGAAAGAGTTGGATGTGAAACGTCTGGAAAGTGCTTTAAGTGAAGGGTTTGATGTGGAGGTGAAGATTGATGAGAAAGCCTGTCAAGAATGTTCATCCTCTCATGGAATCTGCAGCTTTGAAAGTACCACACAGGTTTGCTGCAAGAATGGTTCATCATCAGGATGCACTAGACTCCATCAATCTAATGGTTAGTTTTCATATACATCACCAACGTTTCATAGTTGTCTTCTTTAGCAACTTGTACTGAAGTTGCAAGTTGAATAACCCTAGGATCATTCCCTTAGTGAAACTCAAAAATGGTACATTTCTTCAAAAATTATATTTTGGTTTTGATCTTCCTTTTTTGGTTTTCACACCTTTTGACATATAGCTTACCAGTGAGCTTAAAAGATAAGGTGAGAGGAGATGTGATGTGATTCAAACTTAACTAGTTTGATATCTTCTTCCTTCTTTAGAAGATTGACACTAACCTTAGCATTTAATTTTGTAACTCTCTTTCACTTATTGCATTTCCTTCTTCTACATCAGTCAATACTCTTTTTTTTTTGCCATATTCCACACTCCATTTCTCTGCAATTTTCTTTAGATTCTCTGAAACTGAAAAACAACAGGAACAAAGACTGAAAGGGACTTTGTCTGGTCAAATTTCGTAAAACCAGAACATAGATTTGAGGTATTTTTTATTTTATTTTTTGTTTCCATTAGGTTCTTCTGAGAAATTTCCAAGCACCTGACCTTAAGGTCGTCGTTCAGAAAAAAAAAAAAAAAGAATAGAAAATATAAATTCATAAAGAAGTATCCAAGTTTGTATAGTCCACAGTGGGAACTCGTGTTATATTCTATAAACAACAAAGACAAAAAACTCGTTTTAAATCACTATTCCTTTTCTCATCGTTTACCAATATGCGTTCAAAGTCATCGTTGTAAGCCACCTAATTCCAAAGAAACTTCGATTTGTAAAATATAATAATCCAGAAAGAAACCTTCAAAAATTATTAAACTGAGAGGTTGGTCAAAAGGACCAAACCTAGGTTCCGTTGATTCAACTCTTACGAAATTTACAAATTTTCACCAATTATTCCTTCATCTTCTCTTCTTATTCTTCATCTTCACCGTTTTTCCAATTGACCTCCAACAAAATGATCAATCTTTTTCTATCCCCAACAAAATCTATGTTATATAGAGCCATATGGATGCTCTATGTGATCCCATCTTATGTTTTCTCAGCTGATGAGTATCACAGACGCTGCAGTGGCCCGTTTAGCTGTGGCGATCAGAACGATCTCTTTTACCCTTTCTGGATGCCTGGAAGAGAAGACTGTGGCCACCCGGACTTCAAGCTCGACTGTAGTAGAGGATTCGCAGAGCTGAACATTTCCTCCGTGATGTTCAGAATCTTAAATATGAGCTACGAATCTCCTATCATAAGACTTGCCAGATCGGATTATATCAACAACATATGTCCTTCAGATCCTCTAAACGCACCATTCAACCAAAGTGTTCTTCCACTTGCGCCTGACACCGATCTGCTAACATTATATTACGACTGCAGCTCCCTAGTCTTACCTCCTGGAAGTAATTACTTTGGACGGTTTGGTTGTGGGGACGATGATAGCGATGATAGCGATGATAGTTACTTTGTGACGAGAAACCTCACGTCCTCTTTCCTTAGCCCGTTTCATGCCTTTATAGACAACTCCAGGACAGCTTGCACACGGAATGTCAGTATTCCCGCGTCTGGTCAGTCTCTGAACACACTAGAGAACAATCCGACTCGAGAGAATCTATTCAAGGCTCTTGGCGACGGTTTTGAGCTTAGAGTAAACCAAGAATGTTCGACGTGTATTCGTTCTGAGGGTGCTTGTGGATATAATAAGAGTTCAGGTGGATTCGCCTGCTATTGTATAGATGGGCGTCATAACACTACTTGTAGTTCTAGACACAAGGGTAAGATTGTTTCCTACGTACTTAATGTTCTTCTACAATAACCACCTTCCCTAAATCTCCCCCCCCCCACAAAACCTTTTAATCCAACCATCCACATTCAAGTTCTTTTTTTCTTTCGTTTCTAGTAAGATTCAAAGCTCTGTATTCAGTTTCAGTTCGAACTAACCTTTTTTTTTCGTGGTGCCTTTCCGTTGATGCAGGTCTCTCAACCGGAGTAAAAGCAGGTGCTTCCCCCTTTTCTTGTTCTTTCCTAACACACGATTTGATTACCATATACACCATAGGCAAAAGCATAAGACTTGATATGAAAATTGTTTTTCTTTGTTTTCGTCTCTAGGCATTGGAGCTGCTTCTGGAATTGTGGTGGTCATTCTTATAGCCGGAGTTTTCTTCTGTCTCATCAGGCGACGAAGGAAGACACAAGAAGCTCAATACACAAGCAAAGACTTGCCAACAACGTCTTATTCAAGCAGAGAAGCATCAAGCTTCCCAACTTCCACAACATTCTCCAGCAGCAATCACTCTCTTGTTCCCTCAATCTCTAACCTCGCAAACGGAAGCACCTACTTTGGTGTTCAAGTCTTCAGCTACGAAGAACTTGAGGAAGCTACTGAGAATTTCTCTAGAGAGCTCGGAGATGGAGGCTTCGGTACAGTTTATTACGGTAAGAACCACCACTGATTCATCAAACCCTCCTTCAAAAAGCTTTGACTTTTGATCAAACTCAAACACCTTTGCAAATTTTCTTCAAGGCGTGTTGAAAGATGGACGAGCTGTAGCAGTGAAACGACTCTACGAGAGATCGCTGAAACGCGTTGAACAGTTCAAGAACGAGATCGAGATCTTGAAATCGCTGAAACATCGGAACCTCGTGATCCTCTACGGATGCACATCGAGACACAGCAGAGAGCTCTTGCTCGTCTACGAGTACATCTCAAACGGAACTCTTGCCGATCATCTCCACGGCGATCGAGCTGAATCTCGTCCTCTTTGCTGGCCCGTTCGTCTAAACGTCGCGATCGAAACCGCAAACGCTTTATCATTCCTCCACAAATCAGGTAAAAACGAAATTTGAACATCAATATGGGAGAATCTCGTTGATTTGATTCAGATTCGAATTCGATTTTGTTTGCAGGGATCATACACAGAGACGTGAAGACGACGAACATTCTTCTAGACGAGAATTACACGGTGAAAGTAGCCGATTTCGGTCTCTCACGGTTGTTTCCGATGGATCAAACACACGTCTCCACGGCGCCGCAAGGCACTCCGGGATACGTAGATCCAGAATATTACCAATGTTACCGTCTAAACGAGAAAAGCGACGTTTACAGCTTCGGAGTCGTACTCACCGAGCTGATCTCCTCCAAGGAAGCCGTCGATATCACCAGGCACCGCCACGATATCAACCTCGCGAGCATGGCCGTTTCCAAAATCCAGAACAACGCGTTGCACGAGCTCGTCGATCCGAGCCTGGGGTTCGAGAAGGATCCGGAAGTAAGGAAGAGGATGATGTCAGTGGCGGAGCTTGCTTTCCGGTGTTTGCAGCAGGAGAGGGAAGTTAGGCCGTCGATGGATGAGATCGTGGAGATTTTGAGACGGATTAAGGAGGGGAATAGCGAGTCGTCGTCGCCGGATGTGGTGGATATCGAGGGAAGCCGAGGAGATGATGTTGGATTGCTTAGGCATAGTGTTCCTCCGCCGATTTCGCCGGAGACTGATAAGTGGACGAGTAGTTCAGATACGGCGGCGAGTTCGTTTTGAGAGTATATAATTAGGGCGCGTCGGGGTATAATACTCACTGGTAAGTGGTTTTTTTGTAACTTCTTTTATTTTATTTTTGGCTCGATTGTATCAAATGGACGTATTAGTTTTATGTTTGCATCTCGATTAAGAAGATCATAATGTATGTCATTACGTTTTTGGATACTAATGAAAATGACAATAGTCTATACTCTTCATGTCCGATTTGACATAAGACAGTAATAGTAGATTACTGCCATTTTTATAATTGATATTGGGTTAAATAGTATTTTTATGTGTTTTGAAAATGTAGTTTCGTCGGATATATACCATTTATAATAAAATAAAACACATATTAATTTTATGTTTAGACTAAATAAGAGAATTCGTGATATGTGAATTTTGTTTTATTTTGAGTTGTAGATAAATATTTTTTTTAGTTTAATTCTCAATTTTTTAAATATTTTTTCTTCATCACTCTAGTAATTTTTTTCATCCATTATATTTTAGGTTTTCTTATCTAAATCTGGATCTATTGATAATTTCTTTATTTTACAAATTTTAGATTTTTTCACATATTTTTTCATTAATGTTATATCTGATATGCATGTCATAAACAAATATATATATATATATATATATATATTGTTATATTCTTTTTCTTTTTTTTTGTCATTTTTTCGTGGGTTATTTTGATTCATACCAAAAGTTGACCGGTTAATATATTATATACCAAAAGAAAGTTGAAAATTAAGTATTTTTTTGTCACATCAGCAATTCTTCACCACATTACCATTACTCTCTTTTGACTTCATTACAACTTGTACCTGCTAAAAAAAAAGAATAAATCGCCAACAGCATTTAATGCTCGTCTGTGAGAATCAGAGATAGTCTTGTGCAAAAAGATTTGGTGAATCAGATTAATGTGTGGTGCAAAACAGAAAAGAACATTGGTAAGCGTGTATACATTGCTTGAAATAGTAAACTAAGTTATCATTAACGAATTTATCTAAAAAATAAACATTTACACTTAACACATATCAGAAAGTTGTAATATATTATTAACAATGACAGGTTGATTACTTGTAATATATCATTAACAATATATGGTTAACATTTATACCTAACCCCTAAACACTAAACCATTACCACAAAAATCTAAACCCTAATCTATGAATGGTGAACCCTAACATATACAGTATAAACCCTATCCCCAAACAATTAACTTTATTCTTTGACGGTAAACCCGAACTTAAAACAAAATTTGTTAACAATAACATCGTTAATGAAGTTATCCGTAAGAGTAAAATAATAGATTACCATAAAAGCTATAAATATAAAAAGTAATCCTAAACACTAAATCCTAAACCTTAAACCCTAAAACCTAAACAATAAACTTTAAAACCATTACCATTGAAATCTTAAACCTAATGTATGATTGCTGAACCCTAATATCATCATAAACCATAACCCTATCCCCATACCACTAACCAATTACTTCAACGGTAAACCCTAACTTCAAAATGGTGGATAACTAGTTTATGTTAACATAGTTATCAGAAGGTGTTAAAAGATGAACAAATAAAATTTTACCTTGCATTGTTAATAATAAAACTCTAATTTTCGTTAACTAATCTGTAATCGTTAACTATATTCGCGACATAAACTTTTACTCGATAACATACATATCATATATCATATGTCTTGATTTAGCTAAAGAGTACAAAATGCTACTAATCCATTGGTGAATATGTCTAAAAACAAAACCTAATCTCCCAAAGAGAAACCCTAAAGAATAGACTCAACCACGTAAACCTATCGTTTACATTCTAAGAGATAACAATTATATCGTTAAACAATGATAAACATAATTTAAACTAGAGGATAGTTATAAACCAAAAACATTATGATAATGATGTTAACAACGTATATTTGTTCTTCTTCGTTGATTGCTAGACGAAAAGATACAAAAGAGTCATTAAGAACGTTAACAATGTGAAAATTGGTTTGAGGCGATTTATCCTAAGAAGAAGTTTCACTCAACAAAAAAACTACTTTCTCTTTCTATCTGTTGTTTTTTTTTATCTTATTTGTTTTGAAAACCGCAAACAGTTGCATATGAGAGAGACAAAACTGTTCACTAACAAATTTTCATTATTTTTGGCTCCACCCCAAAAGAGAGAAGGCAAATGAAAGAATAATACCAATAGAGGTTTAATAGGGAATTCTCAGTGAACAGATGCATTTGAATAGTGCTGGATCAGAAGAGTTAATTTCCATAATATTAATTGATATCTACTCATAATACTCTTTTGTTATTCTCTATCTTTGATAATTTATTACAGTTTTAGTGCTTATTTTTTTTTCTTTAGTTGTTTAAAACTTCCTTACTTTATTGTTTTTATTTTTAATCTCATAATTTGCATTTTCATTTATTTTTGAGATTAAATTATTTTTGTTTGTTTAAAAAAAAATAACAGTCAAATTCAATCACTTGAAAAACTAAATGAAAAGACAAACTTAAAAATCAAATTATTTTAAATTTGTATATGTTTATGATGCTTTAAATTTAAATTGAATATTATATATGTTATGTTTTTTTTTTGTCAACAGCCTGAATACTTAGAACGGTTCAGTGATCCAAACAGGTGGTATCGAGTTAATATACATCACATCATAAGGATAGACTCCTGTACTTTATGCTAAGTTTTCTTGATATGTTATGCTTAAAATCCAATATTTTTTTAACATAGTTACAATAAAATTAAACAGTTTGTATATGCGTTAAATAGTTATTAGCTCTCATATGCTGAGTTTTAATCTCTCGAAAACTCCATTTAACTATTATATTAGGTGATTATCCGCACCATATACGGAGTAAATATTAATCACAATTTCGAATATACAAATATAATATAGAGATAGTTTCAGATTTAACCTATATTTCAAAATCAAACACCAAACTAACCTCTTTTTTTTTTCTCTCCAACTTTTGCCATTTTCTCACAATTTTATCTTTCCCACCGAAAATGTCATTATACATCTATTATTTTGATTTTTCTTTAATTTGGTTAAAGTCTCCTTGGTCCTCCTAAAGACTATTTATTTACGAAAATGCCATCTTTTTCAATTCCTTCAACCACGAAATAGGAATAAATGCTTCTCAACCAATTTTAAAGCTGTAATAAGTAAATATCTGAGCTCATTCACTCATAACCTTGCTCATTCTTTCATAATTTCTTCTCCAAAACATATGGGCTAAGTTACAATGCGTCGGGCCATGCATTTTCGGTGATTTCTGGTTACTCGACACCTGGGTTGTTTATTTTCGGAGAAATCCTTAGTTTTGGGTGTTTAAGAGAAACTTAGGCGAGCTCAATTTTGTTAAAGGTAATCCTCGCACTTCAATTTCTCCACATTTCAGTTTTTATATTGCGAAAGTAGACTTCTCGTGAAGTATACTGAAGTCTACTAGTCAACATAAGGTTATTTTTGCAATTGACTTCTTAAAAGTAGACTTCGTTAAACTTCACGAGAAGTCTACTCGACATCCTTTGAAAACAAAAAAAAAAACTTAGTAGACTTCGTTTGAAGGCTCAAGAAGTCTACTAAAGAAAAGAGGTTATTTTTGTAGTTGACCGTATTTTGACTTTTGGATTTAGACTTCCGTATGAAGTCTACTGTTTACGTCTACATAAGAAGTCTACCTTAAAGTTACTTTTGTAGTTTGACCAAAAACGTATAGGTCATTTTAGTGTTTGACTACTGTTTTTTTTAAATTAAAAAATTAAAAAAATTCTGAAAAACTTCAGTAAGACTTCCAAAAGAAGTCTACAGTTTGTAGACTTCTTTGTGAAGTCTACTTATATTTTTTGGTCAAACTTAGAAGGAATCCTTTTTTAGTAGACTTCATTGTGAAGTCTACTCATAAAATTCAATTGCAAAAATAACCTATTTTGTTCCGTAGAATTCTATTAAAAAGTAGACTTCAAAAGTAGACTGTCAGAGAAGTCTATTCTTACATGAAGTCTACAATAGAAGTCTACTTTGTTAGTCAATGCATCGGTCAAATGCTAAAGTAACCTTTTTCGACGGAAGTCTACTTCTGAAGTCTACTGAAGGAAAAGTCAACAGATTGGTCAATTGCAAAAATGACATGTTTTTAGTAGACTTCATTAGTAGTCTTCTCTATGAAAAAGTAGACTTCTCATCCAGTCTACATTTGAAGTCTGCTATAGAAGTCTATTTTTTGACGTTTTTTAAAAAATGTGTTTTAGGAAAATTTATAAAGTATTTTTCAAATTTTTTGGACTAGAATTGCTTCTTAGTAAGTGATTGAACTACCCAGTAAATTTCATTTCATTTCATTCGATATTTATTGTTGAATCAGAAGTTTCAATTTTTAAGCTAATTAGCTTATCAAAGTAGACTTCGTCGTGTAGTCTACTAATGTTCTTTTCTGGAGAAGTCTACTCTTGATACAAAAAGTCTGTATGCAGTGTTTGCTAATATGATTTATATGGTTATTTTTTCAGAGAATGGCTCAAATTCCAGTTGTGTACGGGGAGTGGAAGATTGAGGAGAATTCATGGCATTTTGTTGTTGACATGGGCAAAGGTGGAAGAATGTGGTTTTTGAACGATGGTTGCACCTTGGGGGAGCTTACTGAGATGGCGCGAGATGATTATAACTTGGGCAAGAAGACTGAGCTCATCGAGTTAACCTACTCACTACCAGTCTCAATGTTGCAAACTATGGCTCCAGATACACCTCCAATGCATGTCACCAATGATAGACAAGTTTCAAGCTTGATTGCGTTAAGCAGAGTGCATATGGTACGTCTTTGTGTGTCCACTCGAGTGGAGATGGATACTGAGGAGAACCAGGAAGGATCAGATGAAGATTTAGTTGAGGAGTCTGAGGAAAATTCAGAACATTCTACCGATGATGAGGCATTTCTGATGTGAACGAGGATGGAGAAGATGTCGACGATGCAGCTTACTCTGACGGAGAAGATTACAGTGTCTACGGTAAAGTGAAAGATGAAGATGAAGTCTATATTGAAAATGTCAGAAACAGATATGGTGAAACAGGAAGCACGCCCATATCATGGTCTGATTATATATATGTTAGGGCAAGTTTCTCTACATAAGAGAAGTTGTTATCAGAGGTTAGATTGACTGCGATAATGTTAAAATTTGCTTTTAAAACAGAGAAGTCTACAAAGACCCTGTTTGTGGCTAAATGTCGAGTGGAAGGATGTGCTTGGATGGTTAGAGCGAGCGTGAAGAATGATGCATCCACTTTTTGGGTGACAAAATATGTGAAAGACCACACATGTTCAATAGCCCATCGAATGGCTCAGCGTGGAAAGTCTACTCCTAAGTATATTGGCAAGCTGTTTATAAGCCATTTGGGCATCATTGATGGACTTACACCAGAACATGTCAGGGTTTCAATGAAGCATATGTTTGGCATCAAGATGGATTACACTACTTCATAAAGATCTTTGATATATACCCAACAATTGGTCAAGGGAACAGCTGAAGATGGATATGCGAGTCTCCCAGCTTACCTACATTCAGTGAACAAAGCCAATCTGGAAACTGTATCAGCTCTTCATGTAGATTCGAATAACAAATTCAAATATCTATTTCTCGCATTTGGAGCATCGATTGCCGGTTTTCAGTACATGAGAAGAGTTATTGTGGTTGATGGATATCATCTAACAGGGAAATACGAAGGTACTTTGTTGGTTGCCACCGCACAAGATGGAAACTTTCAGATTTTTCTTTTGGCCTTTGGAATTGTTGATGGTGAAGATGATGCTTCATGGGAATGGTTTTTTTCTAAACTGCGTGAATGTGTCTCAGATGGTTATCCTTTGGTGATAGTTTCTGATAGACATCTTTTTATTAAGAAAGCTTGTCAAACTGTTTTCCCATGGGCAAAACGAGGGATATGCTACTACCATCTACAACATAACATAGTAACAAAGTTTAGGGGGAAGCAGTTGCTGTACTTGGTAAAACGTGTGGCTTATGCTTACAACCTCTATGACTACAACCGGTACATGGCGGAGCTGAGACAGATCAAACCTGACCTTGCTGACTATTTGGAAGAAGCCGATGTCTCCCTTTGGTCCCGAGTTCATTTTGTTGGAGACAGATACAATATTAAGACTAGCAATGTCGCAGAGTCTATAAATGTTGCACTTAAGAAGGCCTGTGGCTATCCCATTTTATTCCTCTTGGATTTCATACGAGAGAAGCTTGGTCGGTGGTTTTTAAAACGCAGAGAGGATGCTTTGAGTCTCACAACACATAATACTCGGGGAGTGGAGTATTTGTTGGCGATTCGTGGACATTATGCAGATGCAATGGAGGTGGACCGAATTGACACTTGGAGATACTATGTGAAAAGAGGAACCAGGAATTGTTGATGTGAATGTGGTGTGTTTTATATCAAGAAGATCCCATGTTCACATGCTATTGCAGCTGCATTAGCCGGTGGGATAGCTGTGGATTCCCTTGTATGTCTGACTTACTCGAAAAACTACTTGTTTGCTGCATACTTTACCAACATATATCCCTAAATTTCAGAGGTCCAAGGAGTCCAACCATCAATATGTCTGCCACCAGGCATTCGCCGCAAACCAGGCAGACGGAAAAGTCTCGGTGTCAATCATGGCTAGAAATTTCTAGGAGGAAAAGCAAGAAGCCAAGGAAGCTACACAAACTATACAGCTGCTCACATACCCTACCGAATTGTGTAAGTTGAGCTAAACTCATCTAATATTAAATCATAGTATACAATATTGACAGTTTTATGGTTTACTAAACTTTGTGTCTCTCACTTAGACGTCGAAGATTCACCAGGACAATAACAAGAAGGCTCCGGAATAGGAGGACAAAGCTTCTATTGTTGTCAAGAAGTCTACTATGGAAATCAACTATAGAAGTCTACTATGGTAGTCTAATGTGGAAGTCTACTATGTATGTGATATTTTGTTTACGGTTATGTTTGAAACGACTTCATTTAAGTAACTGCTTTAACGACTTTAACATTGCGTATAACCGTTGTACCTGTTTGTCTACGGTATTTCTGCTTATAAATTCTCGGGTTTAGACGAATTATAGTTTCATTCCAGACCCTTAGAAGATGTCGAACCTGATAAACTTCAACTCTCTCCCTTCCGACATTCTGTGGGATATCCTCTTAAAAATCACATCTTGTTCATACGCTGCGCTCTGTAAAGCAAGGGTTTTCTCCAAACATCTAAATGAGATTTCTAATGAAGAGGGTTTTTTAAGAGCCGTTGATCTAATAACTTTGACCATTCCATGGGTCTAGGATCAACATGGGAGGGTTAACGCATTCTTTCGGCGCTGTTTGGAGTGTAAAAATGCTAAAGCACAATACCTACGAGGCGTTTCTCTAATCTTCTATGAAGACAACATCCAAGCAGTGTTAGATTTAATAAAGGTGTCATCAAATGGAGGATGCATCATGACTACTTACTCCATGGTTATGTTCTTTTTAACCATGGATGGCAGCCATGATGTATTTAACCACATTCGTGGTATACTTCCGGCAGAGGCAACGAATATGAAGAAGACTATGCAGCACATCAACATGTGTCCGACCACTTATAAGAAGCCTGACGAGTTTCACGAACCGGTCTTCCATGTTTTTGCTAAGGCACAATCAAGGAGTTGTGCTTGTATGAATCTGCGAAACCAGCACTGGATGGATGATGAAAGCCTTGTCGACTCATTTGGTGACAAACTCTACAGTCCTTGCTTCTGGAAGTTGGAATGTGCCATATTCTGGAAAACAATTCCTGGATTTGCAAATGAATGGCCGCGTTGAAATTAGTTGACTCCTTGTTTTATGTTTTTGTGTTTACTTATATGTTTAAATGACATTAGTAGACTTCTGTAGTAGACTTCATTTGTAAACTTATATTTATTGTATGCAACATATTTATGAGTTCTACTAAACTTTTTCCGTATACACTATCAGGAGTGCATGTTCAATAATATTTCACAGGATTCAGTGTTTAGGGTGAAATCGAAACTTATAAATACAAACATGTTAATTACTTAGTAGACTTCAGTATAAATACAATTACAACTTAGTAGACTTCAGTTTAATTACAATATTCTAAACAAAAATACAACATATTTGGCATTTTAATTATACGATAGGTGGTCAAAAACTTCCACACCTATCATCTACCAATTGCTAAAATGACCTGCAATCACATTGAAGGTCATTTATGCAAATAGCCCAAAAGTTGCCATAAAAATGAAAGTTAGTTTTAAATATGGATACCCTAAGCTTTCCTATCATAGATATCCAGCCCAGTTGCATCTAGCTTATCATGGCCCCTAACACCTATTTCGTCAAAGATCTCTGCAGCCATTTTCTCCCTGATTTGTCGAATATTTTTATCATAAAGTTGCGGAGGAAATGGCAAATCCAAAGCATGACACTCGATGTACTTCAGGCAGTACACTCCGCAATCACCACTATGAATGTTTTGAGGTATCTCCATACCTGGTACTCGCGAATGGGTGAACGGCGTGTAGGGGAATCTCCACTTGTCTTCATCAGGTACACAGGTCTGAAGAAGGTAGGGTATCATAACAACGAGAGGCTCCACAGCTTTGTCAATTTGGGTGTCAGATGCATGTTTGGTTCCAGCATGACTATCCCATATCGTGATATGCCTCGCCACAAATGAAACCCAGATAGCTACCCAATGGTCCCCCCTGATGTGCAACATTGAGTACAAATGGTCGACTTCATAGGCCCACGTCTTTTTAGTATGGCAGTAGATAGGTAATTTGCCAGTGTAGTACGAATACGCTCCAGGTGGTAGAAGTTTGCCAGAACCATCTTCATTCGGCTCAGAGTTTTTGAAGTTATTGTAGTCACGCCTCCAAACCGTAGCAAACATGGAGTTGAGGAAGCAAATCCGGTTGGATACAAACCACTCCAGATGCTTGGATAATCGCAGCCTGAGTACGTTAATATAAACTTTCATGTGCTGCACATTGATGAAAATAAGACATGAGTGAAGTCTGCAAACGAAGTCTACTATAGAAGTCTACATATTAGGTCTACGTATGAAGTCTAACTATGAAGTCTAATATGAAATAGTAAAACACTAACCGTATCAGCTAGCCATTTCTTCGGTGTCCGGAGAATGTAATACCACTCGATCGAAGAGTTTTTTGGACGTCTTGGATAGGCACTGTATAAGTGAAAAAGTCAGACAGGAAAATAATAATATCAGGAAGTCTACTTACATAAGTATAGAAGTCTACTTACGGGTTTGCTTTCACAAAGTTCATTAGAGTGGTATGCTTCGCCCTGACACCGGTTTGATCGAAAGGATCATATCCACGGACACGGCCAGAGTGAGATGCCGATGTTGGAATGATCGCCTTTGCGGTGCTATTTCCTAAGAAAGGACTCTTCTATGTCGCAGCCAGCTATCGGTTTCTGGCACTCGTTGCTCGGGCAACTATCTGAGCCGCTGCTCTGGCTTTGGCATTTTTGGCTAGTGCAACTGCGTCGAAGTCAACATCACACGTCTTCGGGTCAATTTCACAAAGCTAGGCTCGGGGGCCTCTTCTTCCTTCATGGCAGCCTTCTTTTCTTTTGCATCCCCGGGGGCGTTAACACTCTCACTTGCACCAACGTTGACATTATCTTTCATCGGAGCATTTTCTTTCTCTGAATTACTATGCAGTTTATTATCACAAACAGGCATGAATATACAAATGACAACACCATTGCTATAATTTAGTAACATGTTTCATCATAGTCTGAAAATTGTAAACAACTAATTTTTAAAACATAAGTAAATAATCTCACATGGTACATAGCACTATTAAACATGTTCGAATTCAAATGACATTAGTATTAAGTGTTCCTATCTTTTGATGATCTTGTTCGCATGAAATGTTTTCATATAAGCGGAGGGTTTTTGGTACTAACTAGTTTCAAATGACATTAGTATTAAGTGTTTCATCATAGTCTGAAAATTGTAAACAACTAGTTTTTAAAACATAAGTAAATAATCTCACATGGTACATAGCACTATTAAACATGTTCGAATTCAAATGACATTAGTATTAAGTATTCCTATCTTTTGATGATCTTGTTCGCATGAAATGTTTTCGTATAAGCGGAGGGTTTTTGGTACTAACCCCTTCATGCTTCTTGGATCCAGTGACCTGCTGCTGGGTTGGCTGAACATTGTCCTTAACCTCTTCCTCAGTGTGCTTCGCCGACCCTATAGTCAACTCCTCTACCGCGCGCTTTACAGATTCAACCTTGTTGGTGAGAAGTTTGATCTGCTTTTCACAGCTACCAAGACCATTCAGCATCTTGGTTGTAAAGCTTTTGAAGCATTGGTCAAAGTGCGCTTTCAAAGTAGTGACAACTCCGACCCCTTCATCACCAACGAAAGAGGCGGCAGAGGCAGAGGCTGTGCAGGTTCTCTTGCGACTTGCTTCATCTGAGGGAAGGCTCCTCTTTCCTGCTTCTGCCTTGACGATGTGTGCACCCAAAACACCTTCCAAAGGCCAGTGGTTTTTTGAGAACTTGAAATGGGGGTCATGGATTGCATTGACAATCTTGAAAATATTCGAATCCTGTTCCTCATCATCCCAAATTGGAAACATATCCGCCAAGTCCTTAGCCACGCAGCACTGTATGCGAGCCTGGAAAACACAATAAGTAAATGAATTACTAGCCATATGAAGCCTGGAAAAACTATGTATGAAGTCTACCATTGAAGTCTACTACTGAAATCTACAACTGAAGTCTCCCACTATCAAGATTTTATATAGAAGTCTACGCATGAAGTCTGCTCCTGAAGTCTACTTTGTAAATTCATTACTACATAGAAGTCTATTACGGAACAAGACTTCTAAATGAGAATGACTAGAATAATACAGTACCTGTTTTAGCATGTTGGCTTTGACGTTCTTTCGTCCTCTTGATCCTTTGTAAGCCAGCATAAGAGGTGTAGGATCATTTGGCAATGGTTCGCCAAATTCAGCAGCAAAATCCGGCAAAGCATAGTACACCCACACTTGAAGAGCTTGCACAAATCCTTCTATATGAATGTTTTTGCTGAGATCTTTCTCCTTAACAGACTTGATCAGATGATGAAAAGCAATTCGTCCCCATGGGAACTCCTTAAAACCTTCGAGATCCATCACTAGTCTGGCATGGTTGACATTTGTGGATAAGCCTGGTCTCGTTGCCACTATGAAACCAGCGTAGATCCCAAGATATCCCAACCGCAGCCTATCATCCCGAGACCATGATGAGCAGTTGGAACAGGCTTCAATAATTTCGATAGTGCTTGGGCCCGACTCGACATCGACCCCCATTAGCTCCCAAAATGCACGCATGTCATCGGAAAGCTCAAGATCAGTTACAGCCAAGTCATCCACGTACCCGCAGTTGAGTCCGGTGATCTCCTCAAACTCATACAATGAAAACCGAACTGGAGTGGTACCAATAAGGCTCCATATCTCGTACCTCTGCTTGCAAACTATCTGAAAGGTCAGCATGTGGTGCACCAGCTTAGAAGCCCAACCAAAATCCAAGTCGTGGAACTTTAAAAAGACACCCAACGGTGACTCGTAAATCTCTTCCCATTCATCCTCTTGTAGAGCTGACTTTAGTGCAGGTACCAGCCTATAATCATCAGCATAATAGCCGATGCTTTTATCCGGGACTGGCTCACCGCCTTTGGTGTACAGTCTTCTAGGGAATTCAGAGGCCACCATTGTCTAACATAGATTTCTGCATCGACGGTAACAAAGCTCTAATAAAAAAACTAGTTATAACTAATGGTTTGAAACTATACAGGAATGAAGTCTACTTTTACAAAATGAAGTCTACTTTTTGATACAATGAAGTCTACTTTTTCAAAATGAAGTCTACTTTTTCAAAATGAAGTCTACTTTTACAAAATGAAGTCTACTTTTGCAACATGAAGTCTACTTTTACAAAATGAAGTCTACTTTTTTGCAAAATGAAGTCTACTATTGCCAAAGGAAGTCTACTTTTGCCAAAGGAAGTCTACTTTCACATTCTAAGTACAATCCGAGTCGAGAAGTCTACTGAAGCTAACTGAAGCAATCTAAACATCAAAAAAACAGTATATAAAGTCTACGGAAGCCACATGAAGCAATCAAAACATCATAAATACTGCATATGCAGTCTACTGAACCCAACCGAAGCAATCAATACATGATAAATACTGTATATGAAGTCTACTAAAACCAATCATCCAAATGGAATCTACAAAGTTTATAGTGTTTACAGTCGTGATTAGATGAAGCCGGCGTCGAGAAAATGCAACCAGATCTGGGAAAAAAACCTAAGTACTCAAACACGACGGACAAAATTACAGAAAGATAGAAGAAATAGAGGAATAGCTAAGTATATATCTTCGGAAGGACATCTACTAACCGTTTTGAGCCAGGAAATGACTTTAACCTCCAGTGGTGAAAACAGATCTGCAAAAAAAAAAACCCCTAATTTCAGATTTGGACACTGGTGGTTACGAAAACGGAAAGGTGATGAATACGGAAGAGTAGGGAAGCATGGAGGTGTGGTTGGAGGAAGAAAACTTGCCTGAACGGGTTTATCTGCGGCGGTTATGTAAGTCAGCGGCGCCGGAGAAGAGAAACAGAAATCGCCTTCGACTTTTTTTTTTTTAACACGAACTTTCAACGGTTTTTTTTACGGGATCTGTAAAATTCCTTTATATAGTCTCGTAATTCCGTTCGGTTCGGATAAGTTTTTTCCGGTTAGGGTTAGTAATTTTACGGGGTCTAGGTAAATTTACCCGGTTACGGGCAGTTTTTCTTGGTTAAAGGAAGTTATTCCCGGTTTAATTTTGATTTAAATTTTGGTTAGGTTAATTTATTCGGTTTAGCAGACTTCAATATAGAAGTCTACAACTTTTAAAACCTAAATAATAAATTTACTTCTACTTAATTTAAAAACATAAATTTCTATTTAGCAATATGAGAAAATAATTTCTGTACATTTGGTTTACGATTACGGAATTTATGAATGTAAATTTGATACCAAAATAATTTTTTCTAAATTATAAAATTAAATTTCTAGATTAATTACTTAGTAGACTTCATTTCGATAAAAAAAGTCTACTATTAGACTTCTTTCTCTCTTTAGTAGACTTCGTCAGGGTGTAAACGGTAATTAAGACATCCTTTTTTGTTTACTAATACATGATTAAATAGTCTTTTCACTACCTCTTTAGGTTATTTATGCCAAATGTTTTTTCAGGGGTCTACTTTTGTATTCAAAGTCAAGTTTTAGGTTATTTTTAGCAAAAATCCCTATAATATATATAGATACAATTATAAAATTGTAAGTTGATTTCAAATATATGTGCTGATTATTCAATTGTAAATAATAATTAAAATTATATTTATTTTGTAAAACAATAACATAGATGCTAGATAATTATTAGTTTTATAATTAAATTTTAATAGTAGTTTTTTATATAAAAGAAACTATATATTAAATATACTAAATTGGATTAATACGTTCTATCTAACCAGTCTAACATCAGATATTTTGTTTTGATATAAGAAATTATAATATATATGAAAAAATTTAGATTTTTTTATTATTAATAGAAAATATAATTATTTTTTTAAAAAAATTAAAATTTAAGAAAGATGAGATAAAAAATATAATATTTAGTAACATAAGTAATATTATGTATTAAATTTTTATAATTATAAAAAATAGAAAGAGAGAGAATATTTTTACAAATTAAATGTTTGAGTATTAAATATATAATTGATATAAACTAATCTCTAACCAAATTAATGTTAATGACATATAATGTAATTAATCTAGTACGTTAAACCTAATTTCAAAAAAAATTTGAGAAGCTTTCTCTGTGATTGACACTTCAGCATGTAACGTTGTTAATAATACATGATATAAAAGTTATTTTTAAATGTTTTTCTCAAATAATAATATAAAATTAAATACTTAATAGTAGAGGTTTGTCATTTAGTTGCTTTACAATTTTGTTATAGTTAATTCAACTAACCAAATACAGTTTAGTTTTAGTTTATGAATTTTTTTCTATTGTTTTATGTTTCAGTTCTTTCCCCTATCTTATTATAATTATATATGATTCAATGTGACTGTGATACGTAGACTAATTCTAACTCACAAAATTATAATAGATGTTATCGTTAATTTAGATTGTACATATATATATATATAATGATATATAAAAAAATTCTCTAATAAGACATATTTTTGGTCATATTATTTTTCACTTTTATTTAAATCGACAATATCAAAAACTTCAGAGTGTGCAATTTTTGAGTTGTTATAGAAATTGATTCGAACAATAATAATCCCTCTCCATTTTACGTTTTACTAAACTGGAGTGTTATTTGGTTCAACTTAGAAAAACATGAAATACTATAACAAAACATTGTTGACTCACGTGAAAAAATACCAAAAACTATGTGTGTGGGAGGGTGTGTTATTTTTGGTTGATTAGTTCTGACTCCACAAATTTTGTGGGTCTTCATTTTTATGGTATGTATATTTGGAATCAAATTCTAAAAAGCGTTTCTTTAGGAATAGTAGAAATGTATTTTGGAACTAATAACAGTAGACCAAAATAGTTGTAACATCACAAAAATAAAAATAAAAGGCAAGTCAACTTCAATCACTTCCAATTTTAACAGATCTTCTTATGTGTAGAATATGCTGGATTTTTAAAAAGTTAGAAGTTTTTAAAAATTAAAATTTCCTAATTTTAAACATGTGATTTTGATTATTAGTCATAACTTACTAATATATATATATATATATATATATATATATATATATATATATATATATATAAACCAATAAATTTGTGAAAGTTGGTCTTTCAAAAAGTTAAATATTCAAAAGTTTCTTTGGCGAGCTTGTATTCAATGTCAGTTTTACCTCCACCACAAACTCTCTTATGCAGAAAACATTTTAACATTACTGAGCGAGTTAACATGGTACATGAACGAAATATCTTGAAAGAGGAAAAACGAAAGTTAGAGCAAAAGGAAAGTATACTACTGTTTTTTCTAGTCTCCTAAAGACTTGTTTTGATAAAAACATACTTGATCTTGTGCGTTTGAGAAACTTTTTCTGCTTTCTTTTGAATTAATTGACTATTTGTTAATTCATATGAGAAAATGAAAAATATCTATCCCGTCATTTGAAATTACCATAATTATCAAAAATTATACAACTAAATATATTAGTTAAATCTAATAATTAAAACATTGTAGATAAAAAAATATTGTTAGATTTATATAATTATCAATTTATACTTTCTTTGTTTCAATTTATAGGTTGTTAAGATTGATCTTTTTTTTATTTCAAATTAAGTTTCGTTTTTAATTTTTAATATAGAATTTTAGACACAATTCCAGTATTAACTTTATTATTATATTCATAAATAACTATATAACGAATAACTGGTATAATAGAAAATTACTATGGTTTTTTAATTTATGTGAAACCACTTTTGAACTGAAACGAATGTGTAATAATATTTCATAATTAAGATGACAATATTAGAATGGTCTATCATGTTTTTTTAATAGAAAACCAGCCATAGAAAAATCTTAAAAGATATATACATACAAAAAAAAAATCAGCAGAATCTACAACACTCGTTCTAACACTCGTTCTTGCTGCCACGTGTAACCTATCTTCTTCAAGAATGGTGCTGGTCCTAGTCACGTTATTCTTTCCCTTCCACTATGAGTACTCACATGAAGCAAAGAATCGACCAAATCGAACAAAACACTAACCGATCCTAATGATCAACAAGTCCAAATCAAATGTCTCTGCAGAAATTTAAGCTTCTCGCCACTCACTGCAGCACCGTCGCGGAGAGTCCTACGCGTAGTCCGGTCATCCACCTCCGCCGTCGGAAAACGCTGCGTCTGCTACTCAGCCGATCATCGGATCGGTGGCGATCACCGGAGATCCAAAACAACATCGATGAACCGACGGGATCCGATGGTACCAGGAGCGTCTCCGTGAAGAGAGATAAGATCCGATCTCGGCGGAAACTGAGGGAGCTTTTCGTCTCTTCGCCTCCGGTGGATAAAAGCGGACGTCTCGGCGGCGGCGATGATGCGGGGAAGGAGATGGAGAGAGCTTTATCGGTTAACGGCGTGAATAATAACGGAGGTATTGGGGAAGAGTTAACGGCTCGACGTATGGGCTTTAACGGCTCAGTTAGGCCCATGTTATCTGGTACATTTCGATGTAGGTTACTTCGACGAGCTTGGCGTCCCGTTCTTGTAACAATTCCTGAACAATAAAACTCCCCAAACATTTTAATTGATTGTTTAGAATTCAATTCATAGGTTGGTTTTGTTTTCTTATTGCAGCTTAATTCAGTTCTCGTTCTTGATTTTGGCTAATTTTTGTGAATTTGTTTGTGAAAGGTGTATTTCTTGGTCTAGATAAATTTCATCCGTTTCGGAAATTGATGATTTAGGAGTAAAAAAGGTCGAATTATTTTGTTTTCAATTTTAATACAAATTTATTAACTTTTTATGCTGTGAACATCAATTATTTTGTAACAAAAGGAATATACCGTGAAAACCATAAAACTCCTAAAACATATATTCTTTAAACTGATTTCTTTTTCATAGCGTGGATCCTGGACTCTGGAAAATATGTCAATGAAAAGATTATGTCTGTTCACAAGCAACTGTTCGCTGTTTTCGATATATTATAGTGGAAAGAGAAAAAATAAATTTGAGAAGAGAAAGAGAAAGAGAAAGACTTGAAACCGATATTTCTCTCTACACCTCACCTCTAACTGAATTTCCATATACACTTCGAAAGCGATATTCTCTTCCATCGTTTTTTCTCCTCTAATCCTCTTTTCAATTCTGTATATTTTTCAAATCGGTGTCGGTCCGGGCTCCATATCGATGTGCGCCGACATACTCAGATAATTGGTATAGAGTTTTCTTTTTCCTCATTCTCAAATTTTTTATATTAAAAATTGAAATTCCAGTTTTACAGTTACATCTGAAGTTGCTAATAGAGTTATTGTTGCAGGTTTAATGGCGGATCTAGAGCTTCCTCAGCGAATTCTTGTCGCCGATTATGTTCCCACCGGCGAGAGAGTCAATATTTACCAGAAATTAAATGTGATATCTGAGATCGAGCATGCACTTGATGAGGAGGAAAGACAGTTTATTTACAAGACTCAATATGGAAAATTATTCGAAATCTCCGGGAAACCGGCTTGGTCTGGTGCATTTGCTATTTTCACCCTCACATGAATGGTGGAAGTTGCTAAAGTAAACAAGATTTTGGCCTTATTCGCCGGTAAACCTATTCGGTTTAGTCTCCGTGAGTTCAAAATAGTGACAAGGTTGTGTTGTGGGAAATATCCTCCTGCTGCCAAGAAGAGAAGAAGGTCCAACAACGACGACACATTCTATGATAACTTGTTTGGAGGTGGTAGAGATATTTCTGTTAACAATGTGCTCCAGATGCTTCAGAATTGGTCTGTTATGGACAAACAGGCTAGACTGCGATATGCATGTCTTGTCATAATGACGAGATGTTAACGATATGTATGTTATCTAGTTAACGATAACAGATTATCTAGTAGTTAATGATAACGATATGTATGTTATCTAGTAGAATGTTAACGAGGTTTGGTGTAAGGTTTATTATGAATGGATTTACTGTTTACGTTATATGTTTATGGTTATCTGATTTTTTACTCCAATGGATAACATTGTTAACGACCAATTATTATCGACAACTTTATTTAGTTAGGATTCATAGTTAAAGATATTGCGTTTAGTGCTTTGGTGCTTTGGTGATAGGTTTATATTGATTAAGTTGGGGTTCACCGCTGAGAGATTAGGTTTTAGATTTAAGTTAAAATGCTATATTGCTTTAGATTAACGGTTTATCGTTTAAGGTTTAGTGTTTTAGTCTGATTTTAGAGTTTATTGTTTACTATTACGTTTATATGTTAATGATAATCTTATTAGTAGTCCTATGGATAACTACGTTAACGATACACAATTATCGACCATTTTGTTAAGTTAGGGACCACCCTTAATATGTTAGGTTTATTGATAATTGTATTAAGATAGATAATATAGTTAACGGATAACTACGTTAAGGAGATACTGTTATAGGGTCCACACTTGAAGATTGTGTTTAGTGAATTAGGGGATAGGGTTTATATTGATTACATTGGGGTTCACCGTTGAGAAATTAGGTTTTAGATTAAAGTTATATTGCTATATTGTTTTTGGTTTACGGTTTATCGTTTATGGTTTAGTGTTTAGTATCTGGTTTTAGAGTTTATTGTTTAGTGTTATATTTATATGTTAATGAAATTTAGTCCTACGAATAACTACTATAACAGTACACAGTTATCGTCCATTTTTATTAAGGTTAAAGACTACCTTTGATATGTTAAGTTTATCGACATTTGTATTAAGTTAGATAATGTAGTTAACATATAGTTACATTAATGAGATACTGTTTGTTCTCTGTAAAATTTGGAGATGTAAAAAAAAAATTGGAGATGTTAAATTTTTTAAGTTGTAATTTCGTTTATTAATGTTTGTTATCTATTTTTCACCATACAATAATATGATACACCAAATCTTTTTGCAGGCGGCGGGGTTGTTATCTATGCTATCTCTGCATCCTTCTGACAAGCATTTAATGCTCCAGTCCTCTACTAATATTTTTTGTCAGCTGCAAGTTGGTATGACGTAATAGAAGATAGGGGTAAAGTGGTGATAAAAATTAGATTTGTCAGTTGCTAACTAATTTTAGATTATCTTTTAGTATATGATGAATTTTCTGGTTAACTTTTGGTATATAGTAAATTGATCCTATAATAATCTTCTATCTCATTATTTACGATTATCATATTCGGCAGTATTTATCTTAATTGCATAGATTAGTCAGCAACTCTTATCCTTAGAATATTCTTTTTGGAGGGTTCTCCAATAAAATACATTATTAATAATTAACAATAAATCCAACACCATTTTGAAAACAAGAATAGAAAAATACCAGTGCTTTCATACCCGACCCGGACCTGCAGTTAAACCGGTAAATCCGATGACCCGCTGGGAAAACCGGTTTGGGTTTGATGCTGAAATCTGCTGGATAAAAATCCGCAAAAAACCAACAAAAATCATGTAAACCTGTGACCCGGGTAGTGGATGAACTGATGAATGAGAGTTGAACCGGTTAATAAAAATAATTTAGATTAAATTCGAAACTTTTGATTTTTAAAAACCCTGATATGAAATTTGTTTGTGGTTTATGGATTAAGGATTTAAAGATTTTGATTTTTAGTTTGTTCTCTTCCCAAGTCATTTGTGAATCATCGGCCACACAAACTCCAAAATCGTTATGTAAGTCGTTCTTCTACTCTTTTTTTTTCGTATTTTACTATTGTATTTGTTTGTTATGTAGTCTTTGACTTCTCTATAATTGTTTCTCAAGTTTTTAATTTATTTAATTATGCTTTAGAGTTTTGGTTTGTAGAAGAAAGAGAACATGGCGAACTTGATTATTATGAATCTGAAGAATATCACAAAGATGATGAAGAAACGAACCCATAAACATTGGATGGATGGTAATTTTTAATATGTTGATTAAATACTTTTTTAGTTATACATAATATTAACTAAACTATATCATTTATGGTTCTTTAGATTTTGACAAAGATTTTATTATGCTGTTTGAAGAAAAGAAAATGGTGATAAAAATAACCAAGATTGATTGATATGATACGTTATTACTTTTATTTTGTCATTAGTGATTTATTACAATTTTATGGTTTTGTATTTATTTTGGATTTAGAATTTTAATTTTACAATTAAGTTGTGCTAATAATAATCATATTAGTCAACAAAAATTAAAATCTAAAAAAGTTTCAAACGTTAAACATCAAACATCAAACCCAAAGTCGAACCACGATCCAATCAGTGATTCGGATCGATCCAATCAGTGATTCGGATCGATCCAATCAGTGATTCGGTGATCCGGAAGATAATCCGGTTCATTGTCTAGATCAGATTTAAAAACATTGAAAAATACATTAAAGATGTTCTTAGTTAAGCATGTAAAAAAATACAGGTATCGTTTAAGGCAATGAAATCAAAATCTCATCACAATAAATGTAGAAATAGAATGATGCTGATAAAAAAGAGTGGTTATCATAGAAATGAATTAATTTAGCAAAAACTAACACATTTTCACTTATCCTGCAAAACAAATTAATTATTGTTCGTTAAATATACAAAACTCTAATTTTCAACTGAAGACAGAAAGACTATACCTTTTATTATCCAACCAATAATACAATTATTTTGTTTCCAAAGAAATAACGTATTAATGATTTTGCCAAAAAATCACATTCAAAAATGGTCTAAACTCATAACTCTAAATTTATTTTATTACTAATGAAATCAAAATCTCATCACAATAAATGTAGAAATAGAATGATGCTGATAAAAAAGAGTGGTTATCATAGAAATGAATTAATTTAGCAAAAACTAACACATTTTCACTTATCCTGCAAAACAAATTAATTATTGTTCGTTAAATATACAAAACTCTAATTTTCAACTGAAGACAGAAAGACTATACCTTTTATTATCCAACCAATAATACAATTATTTTTTTTCCAAAGAAATAACGTATTAATGATTTTGCCAAAAAATCACATTCAAAAATGGTCTAAACTCATAACTCTAAATTTATTTTATTACTAATAAAAAATCCATAAACGCCACGTTTTCTTTTTAACAAACTATAAAAAAAGCAAAATATCGCAGCCAATCTTCAACCACCTAATATTATTTGCTGATTTTGACTTTTTCGTGCTAACGGATATTCCTAAACTTTCTGCCATTATCTGCCACCATCCCACACGCGCCGCCTCTCCTCCCTCACGCGCCGCGGTGCGATTCAAATCCTGTATTGATTTCTTGATCTTACAATCCGTTTTTTTTTTGTTAATTGTTTGTCTTGGTTTCCATAAGATCTCGGAAATCAAAAGAGGATTCCAGGGTTTCTGCTACTTTTGGAAAAGAAGGTATAATCTATGAATTAAGGTGTAAATTTTATCACAAGAAGGAGGATCATCGTCGTTGTTTTAATGGGAGGGGTTACTTCATCAATCGCTGCTAAATTCGCTTTCTTCCCACCAACACCACCGTCTTACGATGTAGTCGCCGACGATAGCTGCGGCGGACGACTTTACATACCGGAAATTCCGCGGCGCGATGACGTCGACGTCCTCAAGCTCCGTACACGTTGTGGCAATGAGATCGTGGCGATTTATGTCAAACACTCGAAAGCTAATGGCACGGTTCTGTATTCCCATGGTAACGCCGCCGATTTGGGGCAAATGTTTGAGCTTTTTGTCGAGCTTAGCAACCGCCTTCGTGTTAATCTTATGGGGTAACATCTCAATCTCTTTCTCTAAAGTTTTGTTCCATGTTTGAATCCAAATTTGTTCAGAGGAACAATGCTCAAATTTATGCAGTAAGGGATAAAGTCTGTGCCTTTTAAGCTGAATTGGTTTGATCTCTTGTTATGAATATATTAATGAAAGAATCAATTTTTGTAAAAAATCAGTTCTTTAGCCTCAAAGTTTGGGTCTTTGAATCCTGACTCGTGTTAAAACTTTGGGTTGCATAAATTTTACAGGCACACTTTCCTTTTGCTTACAGTAAGAGATAAAGTTTGTGCGTTTTAAGCTGAATTGTTTTGTTCTCTTGTTATGAATATATTAATAGAAGAATCAATCTTCTTAAAGATCAGTACTTTAGCCTCAAAGTTTGTGTCTTTATATCCATATCAGTTGTGTAAGGAAAGTTAAGTCACACTTTCCTTTTTCTTATAATCGCCAGAATCTATTGCAACATTTTATCATAATGACTTAACCATGTCGACTCTCCTTTTGTGATTTTGATTCATTTCCACTTTTTTTAATAGCCTTGCTATCTTGCTTTCGTTATTGTTGATAAACATGTTCTCATATAATAGTGACTATGTTAGATTGTTTTCTAATGCGTCCATCGCTTTTTTCTTTCTCAGGTATGATTACTCTGGTTATGGTCAGTCTACAGGACAGGTATAAATCCCGAGCTTACTATGTATTATCATAAGTCATAGACTTCCGTGGATTTTTTTCTTATTGACATAGAACTTGGTATCTGGATCAGGCAAGTGAGTGTAATACATATGCTGATATAGAAGCATCGTATAAATGCCTCAAAGAGAAGTATGGCATGAAAGACGATGAACTGATATTATATGGTCAATCTGTCGGTAGTGGACCAACGCTCGATCTAGCTTCACGCACACCTAACTTGAGAGGCGTGGTTTTACAGTGTCCTATTCTGTCTGGGATGAGGGTTTTGTATCCGGTGAAATGTACATATTGGTTTGACATTTACAAGGTGATTTAGGAAACTTCAAATTTCGCTTCTTGTTACATGTATAGCTGCTGCTCAGTGCTCACCTGCACGATTCCATGTTTTGCAGAATATTGACAAGATCGGCGCAGTAACATGTCCTGTATTAGTTATCCATGTAAGTAAAACCAACATTTCTTGTTTTTCTGCCTGGCTTCTTTGGCTGCTTTGGCTTTTTTTGCTTCCATTTTCATTAAGAGAGTGACTCACAAGAAGGATCTAGACGCATTTACCTCTGAAGTTTATGGATATGAGTCGCTGAACTTTCTTGTTGGTCTTTTAGGGAACAGCGGATGAGGTAGTTGATTGTTCTCATGGAAGACGGCTCTGGGAACTCAGCAAAGAGAAGTATGAACCTTTGTGGATAAGTGGAGGTGGACACTGTGACCTTGAACTCTATCCAGATTTCATCAGACATCTGAAGAAGTTTGTTGCATCACTTGCCAGCAAACAAGCAGAGAAAGCTGCCACAGAATGAGATCGCTGATATGTTTGAAATAGGTTACTTTCGAGGGGTTTCTAGAAACAGTCTAGGCAATTGGCTGGAGAAGTAAGAAGAAAAGGAATAAGCATGAGAAATCCCAGATGAGCGTTAATAGGTGTACAAAGATATAAAAAGGTCAAAGTCTGGTGACACAGTGTGTCGACCTAGAATGTAGACAGTATATTACAACATTTCATGAATAAATGTATTTACTGCTTTTATGATTTCTTTCCTTTTATGTGACATTCATGGAACATATTTCTGTGGAACTGGATATATCCTCCGAAAGCGTAGAAGATTCTTGAAGAGATGCTGCTGGAATTTGGAAAACAGGTCTAGGAGGGACTTCAAGAGCATCCACACTTCCTTCCATCATCTCCACCACTCTGTTCATTGGTGGGCGATCTGATGGGGAAGACTGAATACACCACAAACCCACCAATGTCATTTTCTTGGCTATCTCCTCTTCTTCGCAGGTGATTCCATCTTCTTTAAACCTTCCATTGTCTCCCCTCTCGAGATCTTTATATATCCACTCAGGAAAGTACATCGAGCTTGTGTTAGAATCAACTTCTTGATCAGCTCTCTCTTTGTTCCTTGCTCCTATCATCTCAAGGACCAACATTCCGTAGCTATACACATCTGACTTGTGGGAGACTCTACCGTACATTTTAGAAAACAATTCAGGTGCAATGTATCCTATTGTACCTCTTGTGTCTAGCAATGACAAGACGCTCTCTTTCTTCTCACAGAGCTTAGCAAGGCCAAAGTCTGAAACTTTGGGGCAAAAATTGTCATCTAAGAGTACATTCTGAGGTTTTATGTCGAAATGTACAATCCTTGTTCTGCAACCATGGTGTAAGTACTCAAGACCACGAGCAACTCCTAGTGCAATTCCATAAAGTGCCGTCGTCCAATCCATATTTGACGACCTCTTGCTTGAGATGAACTGATTAAGAGAGCCATTTTCCAAAAACTCATAAATAATTGCTCTTTTGGAACCTTCAGAGCAGAATCCTAACATGGTAACAATGTTGACATGAGAAGTTTGGCTAATGCTCGCAACTTCATTAATAAAGTCTTCCCCATTACTCTTAGAGTCTTTTAAAACCTTCACTGCAACCATACGTCCATCAGAACGGGTTCCTCTATAGACAGTTCCAAATCCGCCTTTCCCAACCACTTCAGCGAACGAATTTGTAATTCTCCTAACTTGCGCGTAGCTATAGTGTTTCAGTGGAATAAGGGCCTTTAGATTCTGTTGTCTCGGATCCTCTGATGTCCTCCTTCTCTGGTTGACGAGAGTCACGAGACAGAACAAACATCCAGCTATAATAAAGAACATCACCGATCCAGAAGCAGCAACACATTCTGAGGTTTAATGTCGAAATGCACAATCCTTGTTTTGCAGCCATAGTGCAAGTACTCAAGACCATGCGCAACTCCTAATGCAATCTCATAAAGCCTCCTCCATTTGGCAGTTGCAGAGGCCTTTGCTGAGATAAACTGATCCAAAGAACCATTCTCTAGAAACTCATAAACAATCATTCTTTTGGATCCATCATAGCAGAATCCAACCAAAGAAACAATGTTAACATGAGATGTTTGGCTCATACTGGCAACTTCATTGATGAAATCTTCACCATTTCTCTTTGAGTCCTTCAAAACCTTGACCGCGACCTCACGACCATCAGGAAGGTTTCTTTTGTAAACAGTACCAAATCCTCCTTTCCCAATTACGCAAGCAAATGAGTTTGTAAACCTCTTCACCTCATTGTCACGATAATGTTTCAACGGAATAAGAGCCTTCAAGTTCTTTCTTCTCTGAGCATTCGATGTTTTCCTCTTTCTGATAAAAAAGGCTAATACCTCCAACACCATGAGTATACTTACTATCAAACCCGCAACTAGGAAAAACAGAACATAGATCCAGTTAGTTACTTTGTATAAAAAAAACTCAAGAGTTTGTGGCATTGGTATCTAACCCACAAGAATCTTTGTGGCCAAGGCATGATTATTTAGCAAGCCTTCAAGAAAGAAGTAGCATGTCAGTATTGCAAACTATATACTGTATTGAGATTTGAGGAATGTTCACTAATACAGAGACTTTCAAATAATATGTAACCTTTCTTTTTCCTTGTGTTGAGCTGCAAACGAGGAAGAGCCCCATATGGGAGCCTTTCTGCAGGTAAACCATCTCGACCGCTTCTAAAACTCCAACCCATTATATAGTGAGCACTCGACAGATCTCTCCCTGTGGCTGCGGTGAATCCATTAATCCAACATACATTTCTTCTTGCACGATCTCTGATAGCTTTGGAACTTGTCGCGAGATTGATGGTTTTGTCGGGTCAATCGCAAATGTAGCTGGGGAAACAATCAAATTCAGCGTTTGGTTGGGTCCATCATAATCCAAACGGGCCCTGATTGGTTCGCTCTGGAGCAGGAAATCTTCTCTTAAGTTATCGTCGGTTGTGTATACAACAGGTTCCTGGACAGCCGGGGTGACACTGTTGAAATCCAGACCGATATGATTGCCTCTTGTAGTAGAGCCATCCCTGAATCCTTGTACACTGTCGAACTCAACTGCAAAAACGTGATTCGTTGAATTCCCGCCGTTCTCTCTGTGGAAAAGTCCTAATTACTGTCCAGATTCGGCGCCTGGACGGTTCGGGGTGGGAGATAGAGTGAGAGTGAAGCCAAAACCTCCGTTGCTAGAGCCAGAATTGACTATGAAGAAGATGAAGGAAGTGCTAAAAGATCGAACTTTGGCTTTGGTAGAGAGATTGCTATGGTCAAGCAATCTCACCGGTTTGTTGTAGAACGCTGTCCCAGTGACGTTTGGGTTTTGATCGGTGAGTCTCAGTAGTCCCTTGGGTTCGATGATCGCTACTCCTTGTGTTTGAATCTCCGATTCTTTTCCTCTAAAACCTAGGAAAACGAACTCTGTTGTAGTTGTTGTTGTCTCTGTCTGTGTACTCTGAGCTTGAACAGAGACGCTTAACAACTGGAAGAGCATGAACAAAAATGAGACCATGGATGGAGACATAGGAAATCAAGAACAGAGAGAACAGGTTTGGAAGGAAGAAGTGAATAACAAGAGATGATTATTGGAGATTAGGAGTTTTCAGAGGACTTTGGTTTATCCTTACAGATTCAATGATTGTGGAAGTTGAAGAGCAACATAAAGAAGAAGAAGAAGTTTGAAAGTTTCTTTTTTGAACAAAAGAGGTTTCAAGTTTTAAACAAGATTTTTCTTTATTTCTCCTTTTGAACGGTTTATTTACATCACCGAGTATTCAAAACTAGATTATCTCTATATATATATATATATATATATCAGAGGAAAACTCGAATTATTAACGAGCTTACATTTGATTCTCTATATTTCCTTGACAGTGGTCCCCTGTCTCGTAATATCAGAACACAGACAGAAGAAGATTCATGGAAGAGAAAAAGGTGAAGAAATGAATGAGATTAGTCATAGCCTCATTGGTCAAAAACTTCTACGTGTGTGGAAAGGTATGTATTAACAAAGATACTTAATTTTTTGTATTACTAAATTTTATTGTATACTGATGGATGTTCTCTATTTGTTGTGCAAATACCATTATAGTCGAAACTATTTAGAATTTCTCGTCTAGAGTATGACATTTACGACGATTATCTTTTTACAAACTCGAAGGTTCCAACTTTCAAGTTGTGGAGCATATTAGTACCTCGGAGGCGCTTGAACTCTCCTCTGAAATACAAAAAGAAAAGCGGTGCTGCTGGAAGTGGCTGCAAGACAGGCCTCGGAGGCACTTCAAGATATTCAAGACTTCCTTCCATCATCTCCACCACTCTGTTCATCGACGGGCGATCTGATGGGGAAGACTGAATACACCACAAACCCACCAATGTCATCTTCTTTGCAATATTCTCTTCTCCGCTGCTGATTCCATTCTCGACAAGCCTTCCAGTTTCTTGCTTCTCAAGATCCCTATAGATCCATTCTGGAAAGTACATTGAGCTTGCGTTCGATGCAGAGTTCTCATAAGCTCTTTCTTTGTTCCTTGCTCCTATCATCTCAAAGACCAACATTCCATAGCTATACACATCTGATTTGTGGGAGACTCTACCATACATTCTTGAAAACACTTCGGGTGCAATGTACCCTATCGTTCCTCTTGTGTCCAGTAGTGACAAGATGCTTTCCTTCTTCTTGCAGAGCTTAGCAAGGCCGAAGTCTGAAACTTTTGGGCAAAGATTGTCATCTAACAGTACATTTTGTGGTTTTATGTCGAAGTGTACAATCCTTGCTTTGCAGCCATGGTGTAAGTACTCTAGACCTCGAGCAATGCCTAGGGCGATGTTGTATAGTGTTGTCCAGTCCAAATTCGTTGAGGCATTTCTCGAGATGAACCTATCAAGAGATCCATTTTCCAGAAATTCATAAAGAATTGCTTTCCTGGAACCTTCAGAGCAGAATCCAGGCAAGTCGACAATGTTGACATGAGATGTTTTGCTCATGCTAGAAACTTCATTAATGAAGTCTTCCCCATTACCCTTTGAGTCTTTCAAGATCTTCACTGCAACACTACGACCATCACAAAGGGTTCCTTTGTAAACAGTTCTAAATCCGCCTTTTCCAACCACTTTGGCGAATGACTTTGTAATTGTTTTTATTTTCGCATAGCTATAGTGTTTCAGTAGAATAAGGGACTTTAATTTACGCTGTCTTGGATTATCTGATGTCTTCCCTTACACAATGTAGGATTGCGACTAAAAGAATGATGACCACCAATCCACTTAGAATATACTCCAGTGCTAGAGAGAAAAACAAAAACAAAAACAATTCCATAATAAGATTATGATGTTGCCTATGGTATGTGGTAATTAAATTAGGTCTATGGAAAGAATAGGAGAAGTTGAGCACCTAGTACATCTTCAAAAGAGAAGGCTGCATCATCATTGAAATGGTACCATAAAAAGGTTAGTTAGAATACAGAACTTCGAATCTTGCTAGATAGAACAACAACAACAACAACAACAACAACAACAACAACAACAACAACAACAAAAATTGAAACTCAAGGACTTTGTATAAATTGACATTCTTTAATGATCCTATCCAGATATGTAGAAAAAACTGTAGGCAATAAATCTTACTTCGTTTGTCATTATAGCAGACGAACTTGGCTAAGATCTGATCATATTCACAAGCACCCCCAGAGTCTAGGCGAACAATCTCGGTTTAGTTCAAGCTTGAAACCATCTTCAAGAGCCTTCTTCAGATTGTCTACAGTCGGAGTTCTCTCCAGTGTATTCAGCGCTAGTCTAGAACCGGGAATACTGACGTTTCTTCTACAAATTCCCCTGAAGTCCTTTAAAAGGCCACTAATCCCATGAAGTAAAGGTGATGAGAGGTTTCTAGTTACATAGTAACTTTTCACATCGTCTTCACAAGCAAGCTCTCCAACATAAGTAGAAATGGATTGTGATGCAGCAGCAATGGCGCCAACTTGACAATCAAATTGTCAAGTTTTACTTAGCTTTGGTTTTGAGTTTTACTTTTCTAATTTTTCTTTTATTTAGATAAGCTTAAGTATTTCCTAAATTAAGAATTAGAATATATCCTTTATCGTTTGTGATAAGGATCTTAGTCGTATATTTATAGCCAACTTGTGGCCTCATTATTTTTCAGTTTTGGAATTATTAATCAAAGAGTTTTCTCTTACCCTTGTGTTGACTTGATTAACGTCGTCAAAGCAGGAAGTTCGGTCTCAAGATTTGAATTCTTAGCGAGTTCTCTTGATTGAGCGAAAGTTGTTCTTGAAAGATCATCTTCGATTCTTCTCTAGAACTACTTTTCAGTTCGTACGCTGCGCCAGGTTGGTATCAGAGCTTACGCTCCTTGTTTCAATGGCGAGACCTAAAAAAATTGTTCCGCCTACTGACGCTGAGATTACGTAACAAGCTATCGCTGATCTCCAAGCCCAAGTGCAGAGTCTAACCGATGCTATTCGGGAATTAACTCCGCAGCACGCGCAACATGACCATGTTAACAACGCTGAAGATATTAACCCGTTTGGTGGTCGTCGAGGTAATCATAACCAGTTGGAAGAATCGGATGACTCCGACGATGAATCTGTTGCCATCAATTCTCGTTGGGAGTACAGTTTTCGTCTTGAAATTCCAGAATTTCGTGGCAGCACCGTCGCTGAAGAGCTACTGGATTGGTTCGTTACTATTGATGAAATTCTCGAGTTCAAGAAAGTACCTCATGATCGTTGTGTGCCTTTAGTTGCAATCCGATTTCGTGACAGGGCGGCAGCTTGGTGGACACAGAACAAGACTTCTCGAGCCCGTCTTGGCAAGTCTAAAATCACAACTTGGGATAAATTGAAGAGCGAGATGCGCAAAATTTTTTTGCCCTATAATTATGAACAACTGATGTTTCAGAAATTTCAGAATTTACGTCAAGGTGGTCGTACTGTCGACGAATACGCGACAGAGTTTTTTATGATGATGAATCGTGTGGAGACAAACGACACAGAGTTACATCTTGTTACGCGCTTTATCGGAGGCCTGCGCCAGCAAATTCAGCATACATTGAATCTCTTTCGCCCTTTGTCGATTTCTGAAGCACATCAGCAAGCCTTAACAGTGGAAGCTCAATTGCGTAGCGGTAGTGCATCTTGGAGTCGCCCCATTCGTGCCAATTCAGCGCCTTCACCAACTGTTCTTCCCGATGCTTCTGCTCCTAAAACAGAGCCAGCACTAGCAACTGATGATTCGACACGAGGCCCCAGACCTGGTGGTCTTCGGTGTTTTTCTTGTGGTGCTCTTGGTCACTGCCAGTCAGCTTGTCCCTCCTGTAATCGTCGTGGTCTGTTCGTCGACGAATTTGACCCTGAGTCTGCACCAGTTTATGATGATGATATTGTCGAAGAGGAAGAGGTGTTGCCTCCAGATTCAGGACAGCTGTTGGTATTGCGACGTACATGCTTAACACCGCGTGCCGTCCCAACCAGTCCACAGCGCAACACTCTGTTCCAATCACGTTGTATAATTAATGGGAAGGTCTGCAAGTTTATTATCGACTCTGGCAGTTGCGAGAACGTCATCGCTGCCGATGCCGTTTCCAAGCTTTCCATTCCTGATGAGCCACACCCTTGCCCTTATAAACTCGCCTGGTTACAACAAGGGACTGATGTTACTGTTTCTCGGCGTGCCTTGATAAATTTCTCGGTCAGCGAAACTTACAAAGACAAGGTCTATTGTGATATTGTGCCTATGGATGCTTGCCATTTACTTCTCGGCCGACCTTGGGAATTTAACAGGCGAGTTCTACATGATGAGTTTCTTAACACTTACAGCTTTAGCTTCAACAACAGAAGATTCACATTGACTCCTGCGACTTCATCTCCTGCTCCTCCACAAGCTCATCTGATCCTATTTCTCCAGCGAGCCCCGTTTGTTTCAGCAATGCGTGATGCAGGATTCGTTTTTATATTCATGACCAAACCGCTTGCTGAGCCCCGCTTTCCGGAAGTTCCTCCAGCATTCTCAGCAACACTGCAAGAATTTGCTGACGTATTTCCTGAGGATCTCCCTACTGGACTTCCACCTCTACGCGACATTCAACATCGTATCGATTTGGTTCCAGATGCTGCTTTACCAAACCGATCTCACTACCGAATGAGTCCTAGTGAACATGAAGAGTTGCGTCGTCAAGTCGAAGAACTTGTTGCTAAAGGTTTCTTGCGTGAAAGCTTGAGTCCGTGCGCTGTCCCGGCTTTGCTCGTCCCAAAAAAAGATGGTTCGTGGCGCATGTGCGTTGATAGTCGTGCTATCAATAAGATCACAGTTCGGTATCGTTTTCCTATTCCTCGACTCGATGACTTATTGGATCAAATTGGTACCGCTTCCATCTTTTCTAAATTAGACATAAAAAGCGGATATCATCAGATTCGTATTCAGCCAGGAGATGAGTGGAAAACGGCTTTCAAAACATGTGAAGGGCTTTTTGAATGGCTGGTTATGCCTTTTGGATTATCTAATGCTCCTAGCACCTTTATGCGTGTAATGAATCAGGCTTTACGTCCTTTTATTGGCAAGTTTGTGGTCGTCTACTTTGACGATATCTTGATTTTTAGCTCCTCCTTGTCTGAGCACATTGTTCATCTCTGCGAGGTTCTGCTCGTCCTTCGTCGTGATAATTTTTTTGCAACCTTGAAGAAATGTGACTTTGGCTCGTCGAACGTACACTTTCTTAGACACATTGTGTCTTCTGAGGGTTTGGCGGTTGATCCGGCAAAGGTGTCTGCTATCGAATCTTGACCTTCTCCTACGACTATTACAGAAACACGAAGCTTCCATGGTTTAGCTTCTTTCTACCGAAGATTTGTCCCTCAATTTAGCAGCCTTATGGCTCCGATTACTGATTGTATTCGTGATGGTCACTTTGTTTGGACACCAGAGGCCGAATCAGCATTTCAACTGGTTAAGGCAAAGCTTTGTTCGGCACCAGTATTAGCTCTTCCAGATTTTACGTTGGTTTTTGAGCTCCATTGTGATGCATCTAAAACGGGAATCGGTGCAGTCCTAAGCCAAAAAACCAGACCTATCGCTTACTTCAGCGAAAAGATAGCTGGTTCTCGCGCTCGCTACAGTACTTACGATGTAGAATTTTATGCGATAGTGCAAGCTATCAAGCACTGGAGGCATTACTTATTTCATAAGGAGTTTGTTCTGTACACGGATCATGATGCTCTTAAGCATCTGGGAAGCCAAGAAAAGGTCTCTTCTCGACATGCTTCGTGGATTGGGTATCTTCAACAGTTCACATTCGTCATCAAACATACTTCTGGTGCTTCCAACCGTGTCACTGATGCCTTGAGTCGAAGAACTTCGTTGCTCGCGGTTCTTCATTCTTCTGTTCAAGGTTTTGCATCTTTTGTGGACTTATACCCAACTGATCCCTTCTTCGGTCCGATATTTGCAGCTGCCTCTGCTCATACTTCGCCTGATTATACCATTCATGATGGATTTCTTTTTCGTGGTACCTGTCTCTGTATCCCTGACTGCAGCCTTCGGTTACAGTTGATTTCTGAATTGCACCGTGAAGGACATGTTGGCCGAGATCGCACTTTGCAGTTGGTTTCTACATCTTACTTTTGGCCGTCCTTGCGTTGAGACGTCGAACGCTTTGTTGAGCGATGCATCGTGTGTCAGACTTCCAAGGGTCACGCCACTAATGCTGGACTCTATCTACCTTTGCCAGTCCCAACTCAACCGTGGACAGATATTAGTATGGATTTTGTCTTGGGACTTCCGCGTACTCAGAGAGGGTTTGATTCTATCTTCGTAGTTGTTGACCGTTTCTTAAAAATGGTCCACTTTATTCCCTGTAAGAAGACTACAGATGCAGTTCAGGTCGCCACTTTGTTCTTTCGTGAGATATATCGCTTGCATGGATTGTCATCCTCCATTGTTTCTGATCGAGATTCTCGTTTTCTTGGACACTTCGGGCGATCTTTGTGGAAACTTTTGGACACTAGTTTGGATATGAGCTCTGCTTATCATCCCCAGACAGATGGGCAAATCGAGGTTACCAATCGATCCTTAGGTAATCTTTTACGTTGCCTTGTCGGAGATGCAATTGGGACATGGGATTCTAAACTGCCTCAAGCAGAATTTGCTCACAATCGTGTCGTGAATCGCAGTTCTGGGTTCAGTCATTTTCAGGTGATTTATGGCATCATTCCTCGAGCTCCGGTGGATTTATCCAATTTACCTGATCGTACTCGTATCCATGGAGACGCCGCGACTTTTGTTGATCAAATCACCCAAACTCATGCGAAGACTGTTGCTAATTTGGAATCCTCCGCCTCTAAGTACAAGCAAGCTGCAGATGTTCATCGTCGTCGTGTTGTTTTTAACGTTGGTGACTTCGTTTGGGCATACATTTCTAAAGATCGGATGCCATCTCGCGCGTACAACAAACTTAAAGCCAAGAAAATTGGTCCTTTGGAGGTCTTGGAGCGTATAAATGACAACGCATATCGTCTGCAATTGCCAGCTGATGTCAACACATCTGATGTCTTCAATGTTCGCTATCTGACTCCTTTCCTTGGTGACGACACAACTTCTGATTCGAGGTCGAATCCTTCTCAAGTAGGGGGGACCTGATGCAGCAGCATTGGCGCCAACTTGACAATCAAATTGTCAAGTTTTACTTAATTTTGGTTTTGGGTTTTACTTTTCTAATTTTCCTTTTATTTAGATAAGCTTAAGTATTTCCTAATTTAAGAATTAGAATATATCCTTTATCGTTTGTGATAAGGATCTTAGTCGTATATTTATAACCAACTTGTGGCCTCATTATTTTTCAGTTTTGGAATTATTAATCAAAGAGTTTTCTCTTACCCTTGTGTTGACCAAGAAGTTCGGTCTCAAGATTTGAATTCTTAGCGAGTTCTCTTGATTGAGCCAAAGTTGTTCTTGAAAGATCATCTTCGATTCTTCTCTAGAACTAGTTTTCAGTTCGTACGCTGCGCCAGATTGTGAAATGTCTTGGCGGCAGTCATAATAAATTGTCAGCATATCGGTGTCAGGAGCAAAAGGGATGATGTTTTCATTGAACGGTGTATTTAGTGGGTTTTTGGGACAAAGATTGCTAATATAATCTGATCTAGCAAGTCTTAGGATACGAGAGGTAAAGTTCGCCTCTAAGATTCTGAACTTCAAGAAGGAGATGCTAACCTCTGCGAAACTTGTGTTGCACTCGAGCTTGAAGTCGGGGTGGCCACATTCTTCTCTGCCAGATATCTAGAAAGGGTAGAAAAGATCTTCTTGATTGCCACAACTAAACGGGGCATTGCAGCCTCTGCGAAGCCTGTTATCTGAGAAAACAAAAGATGGGATCAAAAAGAGCATCCATATTATTTCATAGAACATAGATTTTTTCGAGGATAGAAACAGATTGATCATTGTGTTGGAGGTAGATAAGCAAAATGGTGAAGAAGAGAGATAAGGGAATGGTTTTTCTGAAATCTCGGTTTTTTAAGAGTTGAACTAAATGAACCTATGGTTGGTCACTTTGTTCAAGCTTCTTTTTTATTTTGTGTTTTCTTTTTTGTATGATGACTTCAAAGTCGTGTGCTTTAGGTAATGAAAAAATATCTCCAAAGACCTAAGGTAGGATCTATTTCTTACAAAAATGACAAGCGGAAAGGCTCTTTCTAAGTTTCTTTGGTTTTTTTGTCAGTTCCAGAAAACCTATATATCACAAAATGTGATAGCTCCAAGACCCTTTCCGCCTTTGTTTTTCATTTCTAGAGAATCTAAAGATATTGCCAAAAAAAGGGGAGTGTGGAAAAAGGCAATGACCATTCATAACGGAAACTAACCGATGTAGAAGAAGAAAATTCAATTGAGAGTGACTATAAATGCCGATTTTCTGGAGTCAGAAGAAAATTTCAAGCCAGTTTAGTTTAGATCACCTTCTCTTCTAAACTCACTAGCAAGCTACAGTAAAAACTCTATAAATTAATACCCGATAAATTAATAAACACTATAACTCTATAAATTAATACTTGATAAATTAATAAACACTATAAATTAATAATTTTTCATAGTCCTGAGTTGGACCAGTTCAAAATATGACACAATTCGATAAGATAATAAGATAATAACTTTAACAAAACTTCTATGTAAATATATAGTCCCGTTAATATCATAAATTAATAATTACCATAAAAAAAATCTGATTTAAACATATACATGAGGTAATCTACTAAAATACGAGTATAATTATGCTTTTTATTCATTTTAAATTTAAATCTTTTTGAAACTCATCTTAAACTTTAGAAAGTACTTTTAAAAAATTAAACAATCTTTTTAAAAATTAATAAAAAATAAGAAATATTTTTTTCTTTGAAATTTATAATTTAATAATTCTATAAATTAATAAAATATAAAAGTTCCAATATTATTAATTTATAGAGTTTTTACTGTATGTCAAAAAGTGTGGAAATTGATAAACGAAGATCAAAACAGATAGAGAAAATTGTTGAATGAGTTGTTTTTAAGTTTTTAATTTGAGAAATAGGTAGTTTTGAAATCAGATAAAGGATTGGATAGTTTTTACTGTTTATTTTCTTTATTGGGCCATAACTTTTTAATTTATTTATGAATATGCTATTATAATATGTTTTTTTTTATTTTTTCTTTCTTTTTATCTTTTCTCTCTTCCTACATACTTTTTTTTAACTTTTTTTATTATTATAACCTTCTTTTTTCTCCATACTTTAAACCTTTATTATTTTAAATTCTTTAAACAGTTTTTCGTTTATGTTTTTTCATAAATATAAATTAGTATCCGATTAAGATTTTTGAAAATACATTTTCTAAAATTTAAGAAAACTGTATTTTGAAAACAATGACCACTTTCTAAACAAAATTCAAAATCCATGTTTTTGTGATATTTCACCCAAAATTGCTGATAATGTTTTTTTCGTATTATT